GAGATGACCCATTCCTGGCCCCCGCCGCTCACTGCGATCCACACACCTGGGAAGGCCGAACAGAATAAGTTCCCCATTCCCAACAAGGGGCAGGTAAGCTACGGAAAGGCCTCACAACGTATGCCAAGCCCATGATTGGCGGGCAGGGGATGGAAGAAGGATGCTTCATTGGCCTTGCCAGCAATCTGGACTCTGAAGACCTGGAATCGGTGCTTGGCCGCACTGACGGACTGGATGAGGGCAAACAAATTGAAATTGAATCCAGACAAGACAGAGGTCCTCCTGGTCAGTCGCAAGGCCGAACAGGGCATAGGGTTACAGCCTGTGTTGGATGGAAGGGGTTCCACTCCCCCTGAAGACAACGCAGGTTCGCAGCTTGGGAGGGATCCTGGACTCATTGCTGAGCCTGGAACCCCAAGAAGGGAAGGGAAGGGAAGGAGGATGACTGGAAGGAAGGATGGAAGGGGGGAGGAAAGGAAGGAGGGAAGGAAGGAGAGAGGGAAGAAAGGAAAGGAGAGAGGAAAGAAGGAGAGAAGGGAGGGAAAGAGAGAGGGGCAGGAAGGAGGGGAGGGAAGGAAGGAGAGAAGGGAGGGAAGGAAAGAGGGGAGGGAAGGAAGGAGAGAGGGAAGAAAGGAAGGGAGAGAAAGAGAGAGGGGAGGAAGGAGGGAAGAGGAGGGGAAGGAAGGAGGGAGGGAAGGAAGGAGAGAAGGAGGAGAGAGGGAAGGAAAGGAAGGAGAAGGAAAGAAGAGAGAAGGGAGGGAAAGAGGGAGGAAGGAGGGGAGGAAGAAGGAGAGAAGGGAGGGAAGGAAAGAGGGAGGAAAGGAAGGAGAGAGGGAAGAAAGGAAGGGAGAGAGGAGAGAAGGGAGGGAAAGAGAGAGGGGCAGGAAGGAGGGGAGGGAAGGAAGGAGAGAGGGAAGAAAGGAGGGGAGAGAGGAAAGAGGGAGAGGAAGGGGGGGGGGGGGGGAAAAGAGAGAGGGGAGAAGGAGGGGAGGGAAGGAGGAGAGAGGGAAAAAGGAAGGGAGAGAGAGGGGGGGAAGGAGAGAGGGGAGAGAAAGAGAGAGGGGAGGGAAGGAAGGAGAGAGGGAAGAAAGGAAGGGAGAGAGGAAAGAAGGAGAGAAGGGAGAGAGAGAGGGGGGAAGGAAGGAGAGAAGGGAGGGAAAGAGAGAGGGGCAGGAAGGAGGGGAGGGAAGGAAGGAGAGAAGGGAGGGAAGGAGAGAAGGAAGACAAGGAGAGAGGGAATCAATAAAGACATCAATAAAAACAACAGGCAATAAGCAAAATAAACAGTACAGTTAATATATCTCACACATAGACAATAACACACAAGGATTTAAAAACCTATGGCCGGGCCAGATGTAATAGTTAAAACTTTAAAAATAAATGCTGGACATGAACAGAGGGTGTATCTAGTAGGAGGGCTTTAAACCAAAAGTGGAGACCAACCCAGCGGGTAATTAAAGTGCTTCTCAGGGTATTTTGCAGGGAATTGTTTCCTTTAATCAGGGAAGGCACACAGGAACAGCCATGTTTTCAGGCTCCTCCTAAAGACTGCCAATGTGGGGGCTTGTCTGATATCCTTGGGGGGTGAGTTCCAGAGTCGGGGGGCCACCACCGAGAAGGCCCTCTCCCTCGTCCCCACCAATCATGCCGCAAAGGAGGTGGGAGCGAGAGGAGGGCCTCTCCGGATGATTGAAGAGACTGTGTGGGTTCATACACAGAAATGTGGTCACGTAAGTAGGCGGGTCCCAAACCGTTCAGGGTCCAGAAAATGAATTGGGTCCAGAAAATGAACGGCAGCCAATGGAGCTCCTTAAACAGGGGGGTTGACCACTCCCTGTAAGTCGCCCCAGTTAGTACCCTGGCTGCCACCTGTTGGACCAATTGAAATTTCTGCGCTGTCTTCAAGGGCAGCCCCACGTAGAGTGCAGTACAGTAATCCAATCTGGAGGGGACTAAGGCGTGGACCACCCTGGCCAGATCCGACTTCACAAGGTATGGTCACAGCTGGCGCATGAGTCTTAATTGTGGGAAGGCCCTCCCGGCCACCGCCAACGCCTGAGCTTGAAGAATAAAGACTAGGATACTCAGCCAAAGTCCGCATGCACCATGGAGACAGCCAGCATTGATCCAAAGGTGCTTTGACCCATGTGGACAGCGCCTGGAATGTAGTTGAAGCGATATAGGAAGCGTCCAAGTAGCAGGGCTCATTTGGGGCATGGGGTTCAGTACCTTGGACAGTTCCTTGAAACGACAGGCTAAAATCCAGGGTGAATTCACCTCCGCACTTCTATGGAAGCTGCTGTGTTTTAGTCTGTGTGCTTCATGGAGATCCTTGAAGGTCAAGTTCTGAGGGATCGTGCTTTGCGTTCCTCCTTTATTTACCTCCCAACCTTATGAAGTTATTTGAGTTAGAGTAGCACACTGTTGATGCATTAATGGGACCCAGTACTTGGAATATGCCCAGAAGAAGTGCAATAATGCACGAAAAAGGGAGAGCCAGACAAACCTAAAGTGCCATGTTTACTGTTATGGCATGATTGGCTTCACAAGGGATCGGCCAGCCGTGTGGCAGAATTTTGGAAATTAATGACGCCCTGAGAGAAGGAGAGATGGGAGGGCTTCCAGCATCCTAGAGATCGGATACTCCTAACAAAACAACCATGGTCTCGAACAGTGTTTCTCAACCTCCCAAATGCCGCGACCCCTTCATTCAGTTAATCCTGTTGTGGTGAACGGGCGGCTCAACCCATACGCAAAGTAAGCATTCGTGGTAGAGTTGATGTTGCCCAGGGGCACTCTTGAGGTGCTCTTGGGGGAAAATAGACCTTGACATATGCAAGTTGTAGTTACTGGGATGTATAGTTTACCTACAATCAAAGAGCATTCTGAACCCCACAGGGGCGGCTCAACCCATACGCAAACTAAGCATTCGTGGTAGAGTTGATGTTGCCCAGGGGCGCTCTTGAGGCGCTCTTGGGGAAAAATAGACCTTGACATATGCGAGTTGTAGTTACTAGTATGTGTAGTTCACTTACAACTCCACCAATGATTGAATTGAACCAAATATGGCACACAGAACTCCCACGACGAACAGAAAATATCTATCAGTGATTGGGGGGGGGGGCGCACCAAAATACTGTTTGCTTACCGTTGAAAATTACCTAGGGCCGCCTCTGCTCGAGAACCAATGCCCTTGTGAGCGGCGGGCTTTCCTTCTTTGTGAGTTTAGCCTCACAAGTAAACACAGATCTTCCTTCTGAAGCTCCTAACGAAGGTTGACGTCTTGTTTGTTTTCATTGTAGGATTCGCAGCATCTGACCTCAGGATACAATGTGCAAAGTAAGTCTCCGTGATCCCCGCTCTGTTTTGTTCTCCCTCTGTATTGTGTTGTTAAGACAAAGGATGGGAAATTAATTTCCATGCTAGTGAATCAGATCCGTGGCATGCGGTTATGATCTTGGTCTTAATGTTCTGCCATTTATATTTGTCGTGTCAGAGCAACCAGTCAATTGTATTACATTTCTAACAGATCAAAACAAACAAACAGATAAAAAACACAAATTTTGCAAACTTGGTAGTTGATTAAATGTCCTTTGACCAGTATCTGGCCACTTGCAAGAAGGTCCTCCCTTGTGCATCATGTGGCAGGGCTCAGGTTGCATTGCAGCAGGTGGTCAGTGGTTTGCTCTTCTCCACACTCGCATGTCGTGGACTCCCCTTTGTGGCCCCATTTCTTGAGGTTGGCTCTGCATCTCGTGGTGCCAGAGCGCAGTCTGTTCAGCACCTTCCAAGTCACCCCGTCTTCTGTGTGCCCAGGGGGGAGTCTCTCATCTGGTATCACCCATGGGCTGAGGTTCTGGGTTTGAGCCTGCCACTTTTGGACTCTCGCTTGCTGAGGTGTTCCAGCGAGTGTCTCTGTAGATCTTAGAAAACTATTTCTTGGTTTAAGTCGTTGACGTGCTGCCTGATACCCAAACAGGGGATGAGCTGGAGATGTCACTGCCTTGGTCCTTTCACTATTGGCTACTCCTTCCCGGTGGATGTCAGGTGGTGCAATACCGGCTAAGCAGTGTGATTTCTCCAGTGGTGTAGGGCACAGACACCCTGTGATGATGCAGCATGTCTCATTAAGAGCCACGTCCACTGTTTTAGCGTGGTGAGATGTGTTCCACACTGGGCATGCGTACTCAGCAGCAGAGCAGCATAGCGCAAGGGCAGATGTCTTCACTGTGTCTGGTTGTGATCCCCAGGTTGTGCCATGCCGCACATAGTAACATCACAGAGAGGTGCCACATCACTTAAGATTGCCGTTAAATGTGGGCTAATTATTCTGATGGTTTTTTTTTCTTTCCAGAATGGAGTGAGCCTGCTGGCAAAGTTGCGACCAAATCAGTGCCACAGAAATCGTAAGTAGCCCTCCTTCACCTTCTAGTGTGGAGCATTAGATATACTCTGGGCATTGCTCTCTGTCATGCGCGTGGGGAAAAAACACACTGTGCGCATGGAATAGATGACACTGTTTTGTGTGCAGGAATCAGCAGTTTCTGCCTACGAAAGAAAATGTTTCTTCAGCATAAAATGCTATTTTCTGAACCATAACGCCACTTGTGAATTTTGACCTACGAATCATTCAGTTTTGGAAGAGTTCTCTCTCTACTTGGAAAGAAAAAAATTAGCAAAGAATTGTGGAAGGATCAAAGGGGAAAAGGGTCTTCCTGGCTTAGCAAAGAAGGGGATCGGAGGCCAAGTGATGATGGTAGGAAGCCACACTTCCACGAAACAAGTGCGTGGCCACCAAGGAGCCACTGTGGGCAAAGGCTGGGCACTGCCCGGAGGGACCGCATTCCTGGGCCTTGGGATTCATCCTGCCTTAAACTGCACATCTGGGGATTTCATAGGATTTCCCCAAGGTGCTTAACGTAGGACAACTGCCCTATTGTTGTGTGGCATGAAAGTGCCATTGTGTAAGCAACTTAAGCCTTGTTGGGTCAAATAGATGAGTGTTGATAGGCTATTGTTGGATGAGGTTGTGCTGGGTTACTCAGGTTGCGGCTGTGCACCAGAGTGGAGTGGTGTGGTGGGCCGAGGCTGGAGATCTTGGATACGCAGAAGATATCTGATGGGTTGAGTGACCCTTGGGTGAAGGTAGTGGCTCAGAGGCTTCCCAATGGCAGCGGGTGGCCACAGGGAAGCCCCTCACCTGCCCTAGGTGGCAATGGGCATGCTGTGGTATCTATCCATCTATCTATCTATCTATCTATCTATCTATCTATCTATCTATCTGTCTGTTTACAGTATTGATATTCCGCCCTTCTCCTCACCCCGCAGGGGACTCAGGGCGGATTACAATGTACATATACATGGCAAACATTCAATGCCATAAACACACAACATATATAGACAGACATTCAGAGGCTATTTAGCATTCCAGCTTTTCATGAGGGTATTCTGGCCACCTGTTGCTTCACTGTCCATTTGTGACTCTGATGAAGTACTTCCTCATTCTTTGCATGCTTGCTGGAGATTTTTATGGCGTCATAAATTAGCCTCCCCGCATAAACTACTTGACAGATGCAACTGTCTTTCGGGCTGCAAAGGTCGACAGCAAGCTTCACAGGAAGCTCACTCTGACCCGGGCTGGCTTTGAACTCATGACCTTTTGGTCAGTGGTGGTCTTAATGCAGCTGACTCCTTAATGCAGTCTGAGTATCAGCTGAGTGTCAGCTCCCTTCTGACCAAAAGGTCATGAGTTCGAAGCCAGCCCGGGTCGGAGTGAGCTTCCGACCAATTATGTAGCTTGTTGTCGACCTTTGCAACCTGAAAAGACAGTTGCATCTGTCAAGTGGGAAAATTAGGTACCACCTATGTGTGGGGAAGCTAACTTAACTAATTTACGAGACCATAAAAAAGACACCAGCAAAAGCATGCGGGGAATGTGGAAGTGCTTCATCAGGGTCGCAGATGGACGATGAAAGCGACAGCTCCCCTGGTGGCCAGAAAAAGTTAAATAGCTTCTGTTGGAGTTCAGCTGGTGTGTGAACCTGTACCTGACTCTCTGATTGTACTTCCTGATGTCAATGAAGATGTCAATGATTCTGAGGTCAATGTAGAAGATGATGGTTTGTGTAGTGAAAATCCTGCTACTTTGGAAAGCGAAAGTCCAAATTCCCATGAGAATGATTCAGAGCCAAGCCGTGAACTTTCACTTCCTTTTAGCTCTCCAGATAATAGGACACCTGGTCCCTCTAACGAGGATAGACGGGGGCAGATTTGGCAAAGCAGAGGCGAAGCGCAGAGTTTACGGAGGTCAGCTAGATTAAGAGAAATGCAAACACGGCCTTCAGGCACGTCACAAAATAGATTTCTATGCTTTAAAAACGCTTGGCTTGGATGCCCATTCAGTCCAGGCATCGTTTCAGATTCATGTGCAGACTCTTGCAGTTCTCCTGCTTCCTGTGGCTTTGTTCCAGGAGTTTTTCTAGTTCTTCAAGTACGGTTAGTGGATTGCTGACAGGTTCCAGGATTTAGCAGTGTTACTGTGGGTTTTTGATCTTGTTCATAGACATTTCTTTTTGCTTATTTTTACTGTGGCTTTTTACCTTGCATATTTCTTCTATTTTTGTACTCATCTTTCTTCAATAAAAAGGATTGTTTTTTCCTGAGTCAAGTGTGGTGGATTGTTGCCTTAGGGTCCAGTTTCCTGCTCTGGGTTGCACCAGCTTCTGACCATCTGTCTATATGTGTTGTGTGTCTTTGGCATTGAATGGTTGCCATGTATGCGTACATTGTAATCCGCCCTGAGTCCCCTGCAGGGTGAGAAAGGTGGAATATAAATACTGCAAATAAATAAATAAATAGACACAGAGGCAATTTAACATTCCAGCTTTTTCTTGAAGGTATTCTGACCATCAGGGCGCTGTCCCTTCACCAACAATTTGTGACACTGATGAAGTACTTCCTCATTCTTTGCATGCTTGCTGGAGATTTTTACAGTCTCGTAAATTAGTTAAATTTGCCTCCCCGCGGAAGCGGTACCTAAATTTCCTACTTGACAGATGCAACTGTCTTTCGGGCTGCAAAGGTCGACAGCAAGCTACATAAAATTGGTTGGAAGCTCACTCCAACCCGGGTTGGCTTCCAACTCATGACCTTTCATGAATAGGAAGCCTACAAAGGCATCTCTAAGGAAATGATTGTGGTGGCAAGAAATGCCGGGCACGCTGGCATGTGATGGCAACAAGACACAACCCAGAAGCCTTTGGCAGCCAAGGTGGGCCGCAGTCCAGCCTCCGCTTCTCCCTTCCTGTGGTTGTTCTGGCTGGTTTGGCCTGCTGGGACTGCCTGAGGGGGAGCATCCCCCTTCCCTCCCTCGCTCGTTCTCACAGCTGCCGTGTGTTAGGGTTTTATTTAGCAAGGAACCCTTTAAGCAGCGCGTCCGGGAGAATGCTCATGCTTGTCAGGAGGGAGAAACCGAAGCCTGGACTTAGAGTGTCAATCATCTCTCGCTTCTGGCAAAAGGATGTTGAGGGACTCCCGGCCCCGGCTTAGGCGCTCAGCCCATCGTTGTTGTTAATAACGTTGGAGAGGAGAGCGCCTCTCATTTCATTTTTGGTTATTTTGCAAAACACCGTTGATTCCCCCGCTCTCTCTGTCTGTCTTTTGGAGGGAGGGATGAGGTCCAGAAGTGGTTCCGCTGTTGCCAAATCGCATGCTGCTTTCTACCGGCTTCTTTAATATCAACACAATAGCTCACTGCAAGCACCACCTCTTGGCATGCGTATCCATTCCTATTGGGCAAGTTTTGTGGGTCCAAAGGCCCATTTCCAGCCCTTGGGACCTAGAGGTGAGTCAAATAGGCTGCCAAATGCCCCGCTCCCCACAGTCGTGTCCAGAAGTCCAGGAATATATCTGCAATTATTATTCTCCCCCCCCCCACACCCCCAACATGCCAGGGATCGACACTATATTTATTTGTTTGTTTGTTGGTTTGTTTGTTTATTTATTAGCTGTGCCCTGCCACGCATTGCTGTGGCCTATAGTAAGACTTTTCAAAGTAGAGGTAGATATCTGGACTGTTATGAAAGAGCGGTACCTACCTATTCCTTCTCCCCTTTTCCTTCCCCTTTCTCTCCTTTCTTCTTTCTCTACCTCTTTCTTTCATTCCTTCTTTCGCTCTTTGGTTTTATCCTTCCTTCTTTCTTTCCTTCCTTCCTTCCCTCCCCCTTTCTCTACTTCTTCCTTTGTCTCCTTTCTTCCCTCCCTGTTTCTATCCTTCTTTCACTTTTTATTTCCTTTTCCCCTTCCTTCCTTCCTTCTTTACCTCTTTCCTTCCTTCCCTTCCCTTTTTCTTTCCTTACTACTTTCTCTTCTTCCTTCCTTCAGCACCTCTTTCCTTCCTTCTCTCCTTCCTTCCCTCTTTCCTTCTTTCCCTTCCTCCTTCTCTCTTTTCCTTCCCCCTTTCCCTCCTTCATTCCTTCCCTTTTTCCCTCCCTCCTTGCTTCTCTCCTTCCTGTCTGTTTCCCCCCAATATCATGGTAGAGTCCCTTCTAAGTCTATTCTATGACTCTATTTAATATAGTAATATATAGTAGTAACAGTATATTATATAGTAGTATATATAACAATTATATATATATATATAATAGTAATATATAAAGTATTATAATTATACACACACACACACATACTTATCACACCAACCAGTAATCCAACATCCATCTATGTGTGTGTGCGTGTGCGTGCGTGCCTCTACACTGCCATACAATCCAGTCCTAAGTAGATGATCTGGATTTTACATGGCAGTGTGGAAGGGTTGACTTTGGGTGCATCTACACTGTAGATTTAATAAAGGAGAAGGAAGCTGGTGAGGGGAGGAGGAAAAGGAAGGAAAGAAAGGGAGGAAGGGAAGGGAGGGAAGGAGACATGCAGGAAGCAGCAAACATTGCCGCCGCTGCTGCTTGTGTCCTCAGCGTGAAGGGGGGGGGGCAGGGAGGTGTGTTGTCTTCTTCCTTTTTTGAATTTAAAGGTGTTTTTGTGGGTTTTTTTCCAGTGATGGTCACTCCTTGGATTGTGAGGAGTTTTGTTGCCAAATTTGGGGTCATTTGGCCTGGTAGTTTTCTTGTTTTTAAGGTACTCATTATGCACAGAGCATTTTATATATATATAGATTTATTTATTTATTTATTTATTTATTTATTTATTTATTTATTTGGGGCATTTCTATGCTGCCCTTCTCACTCCGAAGGGGACCCAGAGCAGCTTACAAGATAGATATATATATATATATATATATATATATATATATATATATATATACATACATACATACATACATACAATATATTATATTATTAGCATAGCATGTGCCGTCCACCCAAAACTGCAAGGTGCTTCTCTCTATGTCTGA